AACCTCCATTGCAATGTTATTTCCCGAACATATTAATTCTATTCAAAAAGTATTGTTGTGTGCAATTAATGTTACGCGCAATTTCTTTTTCGAACAAAGATTTGTTTTAAATAGAACCCTTTGATTGATAATCCTCAATTCCGCCATTTTCGACCACACTAAGAAATTAGGTCAATCGGAAGCAAGTGAGAGGTGTTCTAACTTGAGGGACACTAACGATGATAACTTCTTCGCGCCGCCGCAGCCGGAAATATCGGCTAGACGGATCGGGCACAATCATCGAGATTACGCGCGGCGTTACACTTTGAACGTCTCGGACTGTTCCACGTCAAGTTCATGTTCAATTACCGTGCGTGCACTGTTCCACGCGGTTAATTAGAACCGCCTCGTGCTTCCGTTGAAGTTTTCCGTCTTGCAGCAAACTTGCAACGCGCGCGAACAAATATTCTCTCCGAAAAGTATTAGTAATTACAAAAGCGGCAAAATATTTATGTCGTGCGGGTATATTTTTAGAGCTGGACAATATTCTGCTCCGTGCGGGAATACCGCTGCTTCGACCAGACGTACAACACGTCTATGTAAATAGCTAAAGGCGGGAAACTCCGTTGGAGCCCCCCTCGGCTTTCTTTCGGCAAAATGGAAACAGGTTCCCCCAAGCTTTTCTAAGCCTCCGGAATGTACCGCTCTCGACGAGATCTTGTCTGCGCGCAGTAGTTGACGTTCGCGTATACACGGCAATTACCGGGGAAACCATTAATGATGAATCGTGAATTGATCACGAGACGCGGCACCGGACAGAGTTCTCGAATGCATTTTTCTCCTCCTTGTCGATACCGTTAGACACGTGTGCGTTACTTTATCTCTCCGAGTTCTTCTCAATATGCAGACTTCACGAGTCAATACTTCACGAGTCTCTTCCCTTTCTCTAATTCTTGACTCCCTAAGTTTCTCCTCTACAGGATTATGCAAATTGTTAGAGATTCAAATTCTCTTTCTCTAAGGAATACGTTGGATCTCTTATCAAGAGGAATTTTTCGTTTGTATCTCGCGTACGTAACTTTAACTTTAACACTTAAGTTCATCTTCAGGTGCTGTACGACTTATTTCATTGGCTAAAGAACATCTGAAGATGAACTTAAAGTGATATTAAATATAAGATCTGACTATGATTATCGACTTTAGTGCGCGTTTCTCTCGCGCGAGATGGAGTTTTTAACATTAAAACGGCGCAAATTGTTTTCTTCCCAGAACCACAGATGGGCTACTTTTGACCTACCTTTTTTTTTGTCGTGGATATTTTTGAAAATTCAAAGAAATTGGGAAAAACAATTTACAAGTGGGTCAAAAATGACCCAGCCGCGGTTTACTAGTATTAAGCGGCGTCTGCAATAAGATATAGTAAGCCTTAAGAAATTGACCAAACACAATCCATTATTCTTCTCTCATTCGACTGGCGGTCAATTTTTTACGCTTTAAAGCTCACTGCATCCATTGTAAACACCGCTTTACATTGCTGGGTAACAGGCAGTGTCCTGCGACACCCGGTATTTCCCGGTCGCCTCCGACGAGCACGTTTGGTTCGTTTTTCTTNTCCCTCTCTTTCTCTCTGTGCACCTTGCATCATAAAGTCCGACTCGTCGGCGTCGTTGAACGGCGTCATGTACGGCTTGTGGCAATGTAACGTGGCGGCGCACGCTGAAGCGCAGCGCGTAAGACAGATGTTGTCCCGGGGAGCAAATAAAGCTGAGGGAAAAGGAAGCGAGAGGATGACGACGAGACCGGTAAGCGATGCTACCGTTCCTTTACCTCTTGCCCCATTACTTCGCTCGAATAAAAGTGAGAGACTCGTCCAAACGAGCCAATCCGCGACGGTGGTCGCCGACCCGTCGAACTTTGTTGAACGGTTTACGACTCTTGGGAATCTAATCATGAAGAACGAAGACACATCCGCGCGTTTTTCACCTGTCATAACCGCGAACAAGCGCAGATTGAATGACGGGCGAGGATGAAGAGAGGTCGGAATTTTCACAGACGGCTACGTTCTGCCTACGGTCGATTTCAATTCGCCTCGCGCCTGCAATTTGCGCTTTTACCGTTGGCGAGAGATTCGCGCAACGTTGAGCGTGCGGAACACGATCGCGAGTAATAACAATCGCAAGCCGCGAGGTTATAGAGAGAGAGAGAGAGAGAGAGAGCGTGCATATGCATATACTGCTCGGTGCTGAAAATTTCGATGCACCCGGCGGTGCCGTTAAGCAACGGTGCATCTCTCCGTATCCACCGCATCGCGCCGCATAGCACAGTGCGGATTATCGTCCGCAGGAAAGGCGCGCGCAGCAAATGATCATTGAGCGAGTCGCGTATCGATTTAACAGAACGGATAATTCCCCCGCGACCGTTCCCATGTCCCCGCGAGATCGCCGCGCGTTTCCACGCACGTGATTTTGCGCGGTGCACGCGAATGTCCGATCACCACCGGCTGCATTCCGCGAGCTGTCGCACTTTCTATCGCCCGTGCATTCGTTCGATCGAGCTTACGGGAGCGCGCTAATCGCGGCTGAGTCGATTTACTCGGGCGTTATTAAAGGATAAATAATCCGACAGTCGTAAGAGTAAATCGATCAGTCATTTGTGTCTCGTCGAGGAGGGGGGAAAAAAATATATCACCGACCGCTGAGTCGAGAGAGAATCCGCTCGCCTGGCTGTTGTTGAAAGTAATACCGCACTCGTAAAAAAATAAGCGATCGTTTCTCCCGTCGTCGGCGGGATAATTTATCGACGATTCGCTAAATCGAGTAGCGTGTAACAGTCTCTTGAGTAAGAGTCCGGCCATCTCCGACTTTTTGACATACAAAAATGCAGTCAAGTTTGTCACAAATTTATATACTTATTGAAAATAAACGCTCTCTTTGCCAGAAGTGGTCAAATGGCTAATTAAGACTTGTCGCTAGATGTTAGGCGCGAAATTTTTAATTTTACCGGGAGAATGAAATTGATTCCGACGTTGTAACGCACGCGCCAGACTCTCTTCCAAGCTTACAATGCACGAGTGGCTATTTAGTAACGCACTTTCCACGTCAAACCGACCTTCTTAATCCGCGATACTGATACTCGTATTAACTGTCGGACAATTTTATCCTCCTGCTAAGGAATTTCGTGCCTAACGTCTAGCTCTTGTTTTGCTCATCTTATTCATTGTTCTCACTGGTTCTTAAAAAAAGATTAATTTTTCGTATTATATTTTATTATTATTTTATCTTCCATCTTTAGAATAACATTCAGTCACAGAGTCCGTTTGTTTGACAATCCTCAATCCCGCTATTTTTGCTGAAATAAGGAAGCGGGCCAAGAAGCCGGAGATGGCCAGACTCTTACTTGAGGGACTCTAATGCATAATGCACATTCGCTCTCTCTCTCTCTCTCTTTCTCGCTCGCAAATCACAAACGTGATTTTATATGTTGGATTAACGGTACGGTAACGGTCGGTACGCGGATGTTAACTGCGCGATCTTTAATGCCGGCCGTAATCGCCGGCCCATTACTCAAATTACTCGCCGTTGCTATTAACCGTATGAGAGAGATGCACCACCGTTGCTGCTGCTGTTACATTCAGATGCGATACGCGACTGGCGCGTCGCGTGCGCGCGCGCGTATATCCTTCCCTGATTAATCGAGGAGCGCGCTTCTCGACCGTCAGATCGATCGAGCGTGCGATTGCTCTCTTAATTTTTCATCATTGCATGGAAGACACCGCGGCGCCTTTCTGTTGTACACCTCGGCCGTATTGTTCATCGTTTTTCATTGTTCTCGTCATGGTTGTCACATCCCGTGAAACACGAAAGACTACGCGCGACACTACCTTACCTTACGATATGTGAATCTTAACTTCGCGTTCTTATATCAACAGGATGCCGAATTCGATGATGAATTTAACTAGCGTTGATAACGTAGAGGCGATCTTCAAGATATTGTTATGTTACATAAACATTGACACGATCACGCTATTTTTTTCATATTTCTTATATGATCGGTCACAAAAAAATGGTTGCATCACTTTTCTTTTTCGGCAAATTTCGCAACGCATCTCGATAGGAAAATTTATCTCTTGAGAATGACTAAAAAAAAAAATTCTCCTTTATTGGACGCTTGGTATGAATTTCGAAATTTATAAAAAAAAACATTATTGTTACTTCTCCGTGATTGATTGTACATATAAATTTTGTGTGAATGAGATATAAATGTGAATGCGATAAAAGTTATTAAGATGTACAGCAATTTTTCTACAAACTTTTCGAACTTTCTTAGGCTTCTAAATTTAATTAAAAAGCTATCAAAATGTTGTTTTTTGAAGGGGATTTTCCTGATTGAAGCATTGACACATTCGATGCAGGACTGTAGTGTAGTAAAGTAAACATTCACGTTAACTGACAGCTAGAGATGTTAACATGGAAATTTTTCATCGCCTTCGTCACATATCGAGCAATGCTCAATTTTTTGCGCGCGTAATTTCACTGAGTAAAGATATTTATAATATTCTGCAAAATTAAGCGACGTGAACTTTGCAGAAAGAGGTCGGCATTTTGTCGGTAAAGTTTTTAAATACGGCCTCCCCTTAAGAATTACAGCTTGTTTTCATTCGAAAACGGCACATCCACATGCGGAATTGTGACGATAAGTGAATGCGACGATACTTACTCGAGATACTTCGACCGGCGCGATAAAAGAAATGTGACAGCGACGAAACGATCATTCTAGTATGAAAAGTGGAGGGGAGGGGGGCAAGGCAAGCACGTCTTGCACGTTGTTTCGCAGAGCGTTCTCCAGGTTAATTACACATTACGGGGGGCGGGATTTCAGGATGCTTTCTAACGGCGGCGATCAGGAGGGTGGCGCAGGCGCGATACTTTCGTAATCCCTTCGAGAGGGAAAACCGACGCGGTTCGAACAATTTGCGGGAGGAAGGACCGAAGTTTCCTCAGTGCTTCCGCGCGCGCCGGGCACTCGCGATCGCCGCGCGTACCTCTCGCAGGATGCGCTTCACCTTCCTCGCGACGGACGAGTCACTTCCACAAGCCGGTTCGAGAATCAGTCGTCGATTCCCGGCCGGATACACCGGTTACCGCTCGATCGATTTAGTGAGATTCTGGTCGCGAGAAAATTCGCTCGTAATAATAATCTGCATCTGGCCGAAATGCAATTTACTCGTGATTGCCGCCGGCGGACTATTAGTCGGACGTTAACAAATCAACGGTGAATTATGGAGACGGCTTCGCGGCTCGAGCGATATTTCCGTTCGCCTTGAGTGGAAACCGAGAATTACGAGTGCCGCGCATGATGTAAACAGCGGACGAATTCTTTCGTTCTCCCCCCTCGACGGTATATCGCGTTAAGTGCTTCCAGACTTCGCGAGCGACCACGAATCCTATGATTCTTGTGCGCAACTCGACGTCGTAAATTTATCTGCCACGAGAGAGAGAGAGAGAGAGAGCTGTCTGCTGGAAATTTCGCTTGTTTTCCAAACGGGCGAGACTCCAACGCGCTACCTTCGCATCGCGAATATGTTCGAAGAAGGATTCATTTAATCGATACACACTCCAAATTCCGAGCGCTCGTGTAAACCGTCGTCGGAGAAAATACTTTCGGCGAAGTGCGCTTGGTTGTCTTAGCCAGGTCGGTGAAAAAAAAATCGAGGAGAAGACGCTTTCGAGTCGTTGCTCCCTCCTTCACCCGTGGACACTCGTAATTTACAAGTCCGAGCGATATGTGCTCGCGCTTTTCGGGGTGTAAAACGGTTGTGTGCGGATCTCTCGAGCGGCCGTTTGCGCTGGCGATTAATCGCCCCTCCCCCCCCCTCTCTTTCGCGTGTGAACCGTGCAGGAAATGAGATGTTCGCTGGCATGCGACGCGAAACTGATCGGGTAATGTAAATATTCGCGGGAGTTCACGATGTCTCGGTCACGGTGATACAGCGGGCGACTGTTCCGAATCGCTGCGCCAAAGGTGAAAAAGTCCGGGGGGGCCCGAACGATCGATAGTTTTATCGGGATCGTGCGCGACCGGTCTGAGGTGGGAAGTGTTAGCACGTGGGGGAAAAAAAGTATGCAGCTACTTTCCAGCTTCATGGGCCGCCACACGAAGCGAGGAGCTTCCTTGAAAAAAGGTACGCCGCGCCATTTGAGCGCGCGCCGGCTCGCCACGTGACGGTTTTAACATTTAACCGATTCGAAATTAAGTATGACTGATCTGAAAAATGGTAAGGACAGAATATTACGGAGCCAAGAGAAGAGCGGATGTTTTGATGAAAGTGTACCGTTTTGTTGATATAATTCCTTTTATTAATCCGACTCGCAGAATTTTTAATTTCGAATTTGTTGCGAAAGTGTTGCGGAAAAACTGCCTCAGCCTCAGGGATAAATTAAAAATTAACATTCTGGATTGGGTTAATAAGAGAAATTAATGGGTATAAAGGATACGCTTGACGTGTCAAATTTCTCCGCGTACGCGAGCAGGATAATAATTTGAACGTATGTTGTTATTCATTCAAGTGTTACATCTTTCCACAGATATATTAATATTAACAATGTTAGAGAAGAAGATGGTATATCATAGCCTTTGTACGTATAATGGCTTCCTGATATCTCTTTTATATTTTAGTATTTAATTACACATTTCTTTATTCTTCTTAATTCTTGGGCGTATTATCACACGAATATATGTACACTTGAGTGCTTTATTCGTTATTTAATATTCTACTTCTCTATACACATTTCGAGTTATGCAAAGTTAAGCAGAAAATTGACGCTTTACTAATTTGGCCTCCCATTAAAATAGATTCAATGCGATCGCTTTTTTTTGAGATTTTCGAAACGGTAAGTCAATACTGAACATGCGCTTTGCTAATTTGGTCTCCCATTAAAATAGATTCAATGCGATCTCTTTTTTTAAGATTTTCGAAACGGTAAGTCAATACTGAACATGCGGCGCGGGCGAATATTGCTTTGGCTTGGCTTTTAATTGTTGCGACGATCGAGAGTGCGAAAGTCGAGCGCGAGCGGAAATTTTTTCCTTCTTCCTGAGAAGATGCGCGAGGAAAAAAGATCGATTCTCAATTTCATCCCGACGACGGATGAATGTGCCGTCTAAGAGTCTTGCTGTTTAGTATAGAGATCGGCAGATCCATGCATGGGTTCACACAATCACGCCTCGTTAACTATCCGCTCTTGATAAACAGGAGAAAGAGGAAGAGGTCAAGTTTAACATATACAGGATGTCAAACTCCTCCATCACGTTACCTTTCAACGACAAACCCTTTGATTGTTTTTACCAGACACTGCGTAGCACGACTATTCGCGTCATGTCATGTCATACGGGGATATACGTAGGGGAAAAGGCGATAAGATGACGACCTTGAGATTTTTTCTCATTTTTGTATAATAACGTAAAAATAATGATCATTTTTTTCCTGAGTAGTTTATGACTGTCGTCTGCATGAACTGAAAAATTTATAAATAAATTATAATTTTATTTAATTTAAATTTTTTGCGTCAATTTTTCGTGATCTCGCCCCCATAAGATTGACGAAGATGAAATATAAATTTTTGCATACATATAAAAAAGTAATTTATGCAAATTTATTTATTATTTCGTTATTATAATGTCTGTACAACACGGTAAATATAAGTAAAAAGATTATTTGTGAACAAAAAATATGATTTGGGACAGTGTGACTTAAAGTAAGTAGAATCTAGACAAAAACAATTATTTACAATTGTATAATTTAAAATGTGTCCTGCCTGATATTCGCGCATGATATATTATCTTACTTCATATATGCTATCACTACAATATCACTATATTTATTTATCTAATTAAAAAAAAAATTGCAATTTGAGAAATGAAAAATAATAATACTTTTATATCGTATGCGTTTTTAGATACTGTACGGTAGTTTTGTAATGAAAACGCTTACTATAAATCTGTATAATTCTTTATGAAGAAATACCACAAAATTGCACATGAGTGTATTCCAGATGTATTTCTTATTATATTATCTACTGTCATTGGCAAATTGAAATTAAACTACAACCGATTATTTTTATTATTATTAAAAGCCTCTAATAAGTTAGACTCGTTATTTGTTAATCAGCTTGGAAAAATTAGCAAATCATTTTACCCGCTTCGTCATCTGGCTCTCCTTTCCCTTACACTGTGCGACATCTTTAATCGACATAAAAAGGACTTTTCACGATTTAACATCGCTCCTTTTTTCATACCGATCCTCTTACGTCCTCGCACATTAGATAACGCGCAAATATTGTTTATTATTAAACCCGAATATCAATATCGCGTTGATTGAGAATCGTCGTGTTTCCACACTGTATGGCACGCGGAGCAGGCGCATGATCTAGTAACTTATTTGATCGATATCCCCTCGCTTGCTCCAGCGCGGATCACGCGATGTAGGATGCTCCGTGACCAGTTTCGTACTGTATGGCGATCATCGAGAGCATCGAAATTGCTTTTCGTGCGGCACCCTTAGAGACCGCGCGTTGCTAACAAACATCTGATTTCGCGATTTTAAGTCCGCCCGCCGGTGATGGGCGAAGACGTCAAGTCGGACGCGTCAGGGAGAAACACGTCCAGGGCACGTCTGCCTTTGATGAAGAACGTGGATCTTCGCCGAAGTACTCGCTCCGAGCTCGAGTCACGGTCGCTTTTCGCCGCGACGAATGCTGTACGTATGTGCCATCCGGAAGAAGCTCGGAGCGTGACTCGCCGAATCCAATTCGCGGAAGTAATCACTCTCTCAGCCGCTACGTCGCGAAAGGTTGCAACGTTAATTTCACCCTGCACACGCGCCGTAATGTCAAGGCCGCATCCCTGAATTATCGTCGTCCGTATCCTCGTGCCTGAATCGCCATTGAATTAGTCACCGGATATTATAGCTGTATGTTAATAGCTACACGAAAAGATAGAACGCCGAGATACTTCGCCGGTGGACTTTAACTTAAACTTGAAAAATCGCCGCTTCGAGGCGCTTTGCGAGGCGCAGAAGCAGGCTCCCGCAGGATCGCGGAAATGATAAGATTCCGCCGAAACAATAGCCGAGCGAAACGGATCATCATTTTCTTCATTTCTCTCTTCTCTCTCTAATTCTTTCTTTTCCTTTCAATCTCTTTTCATCCTTTCTGTGCCTACTGTTTCTCCGAGGTATACTTGTACGGATGGAGTACGGAACGAGTCAATACGATTCAAAGGGAACGAGAAGAAACGGCCATTGAATAAGACTTAACGGCCGGAGAATTTCCGCGGAGTACGCCGCGTGAATGCACCACCCGTATATTTCCCCCGCTGCAATAACTCTTGAACTCGTGACACTTATCCTCGCATCCTCGCTTTACCCGCTGCGCTGATTGATACGCATTGCGATCCAGAAAGTTGCGCTGAACTATATAGAGAGCACATAGCACTATGGTGTGAGAATCGTATGAAATCAAACGAACCATCGGCAGATATCTTTCAGACACTTCGTGAAATGCGTCGCTGCGATAATTAACAGAAGAAGAAAGTATGAACGAATGTGATTAAAGTATAATTCTCTCGCAAATGCCCTTCCTCGCAAACAAGTTCTTATCGCGTATAATAAAAAATTTTTCGTTAAAATTTCGTGAAATTTTGTGTTACTTTGACATGAGAAATGTGTTAATAAAAAAAAAAAGTATACAAATATAATGTTAAATTAATATATTCAACATGACAAGGTGAATGCGTTAATTTAACATTATATTTGTGTACTTTTAACATACATTCCCCATGTTAAAATAACACAAAATCTCAATGGACCGTTTTTAATATAAAATTGTTTACTATACAGCGATAGAGAAAAGTTTGAAATGGTTTTTGAAATCGTTTGCAGTATGAAGATTGGGAAATAAATAAACGTGATTTCAAGATAATCGTGAGTTCATATGAAAAATGCGATGCGTCGTCTAACATGTGAGGGCAGATCTATCTCGGGGAACATTTATTTGGAAACGTTTGCATTTTGCACGATCGGCTTGGTAGCCGCTCTATGTGGAAATCACGTAACATTCCACGTTCTTTCTATACGATATACAATACGCTATACAATATGCGCAATTGTCCAAGTTATATTTAACGCGATATTCAAGACAAAAGTTCGTGGTAGTTTGAGTAAAGAAAAATGTTTGCATACAATTTCACGCTTGTCTCGCAAAGTTACTCTCACCAATGATAAGCTACCTTTAAACCGAATTTACCGTTAAATGCACACCGCCGCATTATGCTCGTAAGATGCTTTCTTCAATTAAGAAGTGTCCTTTGCGTAATTGCCAGTCGTTAGCAGAGAATTGAACATCTTATTGGAGCTTAGGCGCCGCATTTCCTCCGCGCACTCAACGTCAAACGCGTTTAACTCGAGAGTAACACCCACGATTTTGAAGTAACATCTTACATCACGAAAAAAATGATAATATACTTTTGCTGTCGTAACGAATATGCAACGGAAACTGGTGGTTTCTTTTTTTTCTCCGTGCAGGTCTCTCCCGTGTAGGCCTAATGTATTATTACCAAGGTTAACCCCCGGTTTCATGTTTGCGTCGGTGCACGCACGCCCGTTTAAATCTACTATGCGATAGATTGTATACACACGTCTCTAACTTTGCACGTATCTTCTTTTCCTCAGGAAAGCGCGAATCCATCGGAGGCGGGAATCCTGTTGGTAATTGGCCGTCTTCAACGGGGGGTCCGGTCAGGCCCCTTAGCAGTACCGTTGGGTACGGTGCTGCGGCGGGGGGCGCCAACATGACACCCGATGATCCCGCACCTGACGAAGAATTCGCTCTCGCCGTCGCACAGAAAGCACAGGTACAACTCATCAGCCGGCGGCTTCCCCGCTCGGCCAAGCCGAATAATAAATTCCTGATAACGACGCGTGTTCCGCGCCGTCGTTCTCTCACGCCGAATTACACGGTCGGCAGAAATAGGCCACGATGCCCCACGCTCTTTTCTCGCGTGCATGCTTTAATCGACGCCTTTTATATTGACTTGTGTGTGTGTGTGTGTGTGAGCGCGTAAAGAACGAGCCTTATCTAGATCTCTCGGTCGTCCGTCTTGAAACTTGAACTTTGTAGCGCGCATAATTTTTCGATCGGGATGCAGCGCTTTTAATGGCGCGAAATGTTGGTAAAAAGCGTGGAATTACGATTGCACGTGGTGACACAGAATTGCGAAGCAGCACCGTGTTTCTACGCGAGATTTATCGATGCCACGAGGAGGTTAAGGAGGTTGTAAGGTGAAATAAGTTGGATAAGATGAAACTTGCATTACACTATACATTGAAATATTATCGTGCAATTAGAAAGGGATTTGTCATTCGAGAGCTAAGATATTTGCAGCTAAAGTTGACACTTTTTATACGTGTTCCTTGAGAGATTGGCATGCTATTTTTAATTTTTAATATCTTTTCTGAACGAAAAATAAAAGTTTACTGAAAAACCATTATGATATATTAAAGACTGCATAGAAAAAAAGATTCAAGTCAATAATTATTCCAATATTCCTTAGCAAATTTTTATTTGGGTGGAAGAAATACGAGAGTTGCTATTTATATTTCTGGCCTAATAATGAAAAAACTAATATTTATGATCGAAATTGGTTTTATTGTTTTTCAAAATATTCTCCATGATGATAAATACACTTTTGCATACGTTTGAACCAATTATCGAAACACTTTTTCCACTCCGATTGAGGTAACTGCAAAACATGCGTTTTGAATGCATCAACCGCTTCTTCGGGTATCGAAAATCGTCGACCACGTAATTTATTTTTGATGTGTGGGAACAACAAAAAGTCATTGGGTGCCAAATCAGGGCTGTACGGCGGATGACCCATCAATTCGATGTTTTGGCCGGTCAAAAATTCCTTTGTTTGACCCGATGTGTGAGAGCTCGCATTGTCATGATGAAGAATGATTCGTCTCTTCTTCTGCTTTTCTCGAATTTCTCCTCTAGCAAACAAATGGTCGTGTACTATTCAGAATTGACTGTCCTACGGTGCTCTAACGCCACTGTCGCCATGTGACCGAAGAAACAAGCAACCATTTGTTTCGATGTGCTTCCGCAAACTTTTGTTGGATTTGACTCGTCTGGGAAGACCCATACAGTCGATTGTTGTTTTGTTTCGGGCTCATATGCATAGATCCATGATTCGTCACCTGTGTTGATGTTATACACAGCCTTTGATGCACCTTGAACGTATTTTTTCAACATTTCCT